ATTTTAAGAAATGTGTCGGGTTTTTTTGGTAGATTTTTGTTTGGACACTCCATATGCACTTTTCATTGGGGATTGGTTTAGTAAAGGAATTATGTTGTATCAAAAGATGGAGTCAAACTGTTGATCTAGGCTAGAAGATGCTTTTTGAAAATGGCCTTAAAATATTTTTTGGCCTACCTGTACTGGTCACTCAGACAATCTTTTTGAATGGATTATACTGGGAACAGTGTTTAAATAGAGTTCAGTGTTTGTTTTCAAACATGGGTCAAAGCCCAGGACCCTAAAGCCAAATTCATTAAATATATTAATTTATAGGATTCTGGAGATGGCAGCAAAGTGGTGAGTGACTTGTCTAAACAAATTTGGAAATACCAAATGTGCTGCTTTTGCATATCTTGCATTTAACACTGAAAGTTTTGTGATGCTGGAGATGTCTGTTATGTTTGTCACGGATGAAGATGTTGTTTAAATGCATATATCTGTTAAAATCTAATAAATTCAGCATAAAACTTCTTAAGTCAAACAATTTTACATACCGTCAGAAATGCTTTGTATAAAACTAATTGTAGTACATAGATTTTGGTCTAAATTACAGAGCTCATGGACCTCTGACCCCAAGGATACTGAAGCGTAGGAGAGGACACAGAGATGATGGGAAAGCTGTAACTCATATTGTAGCTAAAACAGTGACAGCAGAAATGGTGAGGAAGACTTCCATTATGTTTTATGTGAGTCAGAAGGACTAAGTGTGCTAAACAAAACCAAGGCCAAATGACCTAGGCGATATTAGTACATAGCTGTCTTGAGGAGATAGTTATTCAGAAGTGACCTCTAAACTTTTACTTCCTGATTTAACTGAAGTGGTCGCATAGAATCCTCTCAGTCCGTGGGATGAGAGAGAATATACATTTCTAATAGGCAATCCATTAGTCTGAAATGGACTAGTGGTTTGATCACACCCATTCAGAAAAGTAGCTAGCTGGTGAGAAGCTTTGTTAAAACTCCCCATATGTAAGCCTAGTAATGGCACAACAAGCTCTGTTTATTTTACCTCTCTTTGCAGAAACAACTTGTTGTCATTCCACTGCAGAGCATTTGCGGAAAACCTTGGCTACTGTGGCTTGCTGGCATTCCTTCCCCCACACTTCCACAGTTTCTCTCTCCTTCTCCCTCCAGCAGACATCTAACCATAGAGCTCATTAGACAAGCTGACAGAAGTAGATGTGCAGCATGGTGTTCGTGGGGATGTGTCTTTTCTGGCTTGGAGGGCAGTAGCTCCACTTTGCCATGGCCAGCAATAGTCCTAGAAAAGGGTATCTCACACCCGTTAGTGATAGGCTGTCACAGGCTCATACGTTAAGAGACTGTTCTGTGTGTTTTGGAGATGAGGTGTCCATTATTACTTATTGCTCTAGGGACCAGTGGACACCACAGCCATGGAAAAAGGTCATGAAGCTAGACGCTCTGTCTCCACAAGAGGGAACTTCATGTGTGTTTGAATTAGCTAGAAGCCTTCTACCTGTGAAAGTGACTCTTGCTGCTTTATCCAGTCTTACCACCCCAAGTTCTTGCAGCCTGGCTTCATTTAATTCTGTTCCTCTCAGATGGTTCTTTGTCCCACTCATTTCCCCCCCTGGGTTTTTGTTCATCCAGAAATTCTGCCATCATGAGATATTTGTCCCTTGAATCTGTCCATCTTGGCCTTTCCATTGCCTCTTTTTGTTCCACCATAGCTAAGAGATATACTTGGCCTCACCTCCAGGTGTGGACACCACTCCAGAACTGAACTGAGCAAGATACCATTCAGTGGTCTAAAACTCTTTGAAGTTCTGGATAACAGCAGTAAAAGAAGTTGCATATCTGAGTAAGCTTCCTATGCCTCTGGAGAATTAGGAAAGAATTACAGGGGAAGTTATTTTTAAAAAAATACTTCTTGTTCATTCAAGAGGAAAGAATACTTCTCAGGATCTTCATGGGTTTCTGGAGGTAGGCACAGCTTCTCTAGCCTTGCCTTCAGTAAGTAAATGAAGACAGACCTGCTCAGACCCCTTTCCCTCTGGAATCTTCATAGGGTGAGCTTAACAGCACGGAGCCTCCAGGCGAATGATGCTTTGATTCCCTTCTATGGCGTTCCAGGTGCCTTGTGCTGTTCTGTGTCCCAGGTATGCTCCCATCCCCTAAGTGGGCATCTATTAAGCACCTGTGGGTCTAGAAGGCATATGAAAAGACCCTTGCAGACAATCTTTGGGATTACCCACTATCTGAGGGAATCCAATACCTGGCTTGGGACCAGTACTTGATCCTGTATATTTTCCAGCGAATGGGTCCATACTTTGAGGAGAAACACATGGAGACACATGAAATGGGATCTTGTCCATGGGGTGACTTATATACACAAAACTAAAAGACCCAGTAGTTGGAGACACTGAGGTACGGATGGCCTTATGTTCTTAGCATAGATGTAAGGTTCTGGATTTTTTTGAATCTGTCCAGTGATGGGTAGATTTTTGCCTCAGTAATGTCTATGTCTACTCCCAGAGCTATCCTTGTGGAAGGGATCAGAGAGTTTTTCTTGGTGTTTATCACAAAACCATGTTCTTGAAGCAACTGCTGTATCCAAAGTGTGGCAGCGTGGTCTGCTGCTCTGGTTGGAGCTTTGATTAAAATGTTGTCCAGGAAGGGATACAGGTGAGTGCCCTCAGATTGAAGTCTGGCTATGACCATTACCAGTATAATGTAAAAGATCCTGAGGGCAGAAGAGAGGCTGAATGGTGGTAGAGTTTTGTACAGGGATGACCTGTGTCATAAGCAAATCTGAGTAGGCAGTGGTGGCACAGACATAAGGACATAGAGATGCATCTAGCTGCTAGGTCAGCTGAGGTGAGGAAGTCCCTTTGGGACAGGGATGTTACCATCACAGCAAGAGTTTGCATGCAGAAGCTCATTCTCTTCATCCATTTGAGTCATTTTAGGTCCAGGAATGCTCTGACCCTCCTGTAAGCTTTTGGATGATGAATAGCATATAGCCTAAGGCCTTGGCTACACTTACCCGCTAGTTCGACGGCTGGAAATCGAACTTCTGGGTTC